TCTGCATTTTTCCTGGATCCAGGACCCTTGTTCTTTTTTTTTCTTGCCTGGTATGGAGACTATATTTGGATCTCCAGTGCTCTACCAATAGTACTTCTGTCACATGGCAGTCACAAAGTGCTCAGTAATTATAACCTAGCTAGGTTTTTGCGAGGAAGGCTGACTAAAAATACTCCCACATTGTTGCAGTGATGGGGCAAAAGCTGGAGATTTTTTTTTCTCTTTCTTTTTAAGGTTTTGCCTGTTTTTGTGTGCGAATACGTGTTTGTGTCTGCTCAGGGGAGACGAGTGTGTGTGTGATACATGGCTGTATATTGTGTCTTTTTAACGCACTGCAGTTCAATGGGTTTGCTGGATGTGTTTGTCTTGTTTCCAGAGAAGCTCTAATTGGTAAATAGATGCAGTTAATTGTGTGATTTGATGAATGTGATTGATGTTTTATGACACAAGTCACCACTGTACACCAAGTTATCTCAGATTTTGCTGATGTGGGTAGTTTGTTTAGGGGTTTTGTCACTAAATTATACATGTTGTCTGTTATGGAGCTGAATTCCATTCAGCACATATTGTGGTAATCAAATAATCATTCCGATTTTTTCAGAATTTTCCTTTTTTTTTGTCTTATGTGATAACATTTAGGTTTTGTCTGACTTAACAGGCAGTTTATTTCCATTGCCTGGTGGCATAGGACATTGTGGTGGATGTTTTTCACTGTATTCATATAACATGAGCAAACTGTTAGTTGCATTATAGTTTTTAAGATTTCTCATTCGTGAAACATTCCTGAATATCTGCATTGTTTGCACAAACTAATCGAGTCACGTTCTTTGTGTTTTTTCAATGTATTGCTGCCTTTTAGCACCCCACCAACTGTCTGGTGGGGCAGTTATCATCGTCTTCAGTCAGCAGAAATAGTTATCTGTCTTCATAAGATGCTGACAGAGCAGTGGTTCCCACCCTGGGTGTTGGGAAGTGAGGTAATAAGATGACATCCTGGGTCAGAAACAAGAGAAAACTCAATGATCACGCAGGAAAACATGTACTTTTTTTTTTCTAACTTCTGCTTCTTGTGAAATAGTATGTGGTTTTGCTTCTACAGCCTCAAATTATAGAAATTAATAAGAATTTTAATGAAAAGTGCCCATTCACAATCACGTGGCTTCATGATGGTCTATAGATGGTCTTGTGTTCAACTTAGCTTTATATGGCAGCTTTCAATCAAATGTGCAGCCTGAAGTGACGCTCAGAACCAGATAGTTCAGGACAAGTCCATTCAGTTTTGCAGTCTGGCCAAAAAGTAACAACCGTCCAAAGGTCGGGTTGTAAGTTAAAGACAGAAAAGAATTGTGGGAATTTTACGTGCTGGCTTAGACCTACGATCAGCCTGGTTAATAAGTACACAGCATAGTGTGTACTAAAATAATAAAGAAGCAGTTTTTAGATCTCATTTAAGGCTGTGGTAATGTGTGAGGAGCAGCTTGTCATTATTTGTTGACCTTAAAAAGCATATTAAGTAATTGACTTTATTTAGCTGTACATCTAATCAGTACCCACATTAAAACCACAGTCAGGGAAAGTGAATAGCACTGATTATCTCATTACAATGGCACCTGTCAGGGCTTGGTTGTATTAGTCAGCAAGTAAACGGGCAGTCATTCTTGTTGTGCTGGAAGTAGGGAAAAAGGGCAGTGCAAGGATCTGAGTGACTTTGATAAGGACCAAATTGTGATTGCTAGATGACTGGGTCAGACGATCTCCTGCAGCAGGAGTTGTGAGTTGTTCCTGGTGTGCACTGGTTAGTACCAAAAGTGAGCCAAGGAAGGGCAACTGGTGAGCCTCCGACAAGGCGATGGGCACCTAAAGTTCATTCACGGGGAGGGACGTCTGTCCAGTGGGGTCCGATCTATACAAGAAAGGTGTCAGAACTAGGGGTGTAATAGCACCTTGGTTTTAAGGATGAGATCTGTTTCTTTTTTGTAAAGTGAAAACAGGAAATACAGAATATATAACTTAACACTGGTGTACAGATGTAACTACTAATATTACCAATGGTTGTAACCTCCCAATAAAAAATAAAATTTACAAAATATATAAATCAAAATATAGACTCTTAAATACCACTTTTTTTTTTTTTAAAAGTGCATCAATTAGAAAATATAACTGAGCTCAAATCGTACTTTCATCCATATTACTAGCTTTTAGCTTCACACTAGGACTGCTCAACACAAATAATCTTTCAAATCAAAAATACACAATATCCATCAAAGTGCATAGTTTTGTCTATTTAACTGTGTCATAAGGTAACTCTCAGTAGCCCTGTGTGTCCACGTTGGTTTGTGACAGTGACAGCAGATGTGTAGGATATGTTGTGTACAACTGTAGCTTGTGTTGGTTCATAAAAGGCTGCTCTGACTTTCTGGCTGAAATACGAATGAAAGGGAACTTCATAGCACGGCTCAGTTACTTTTGGTAATTGTTTAAAACACGTGTTCTCGACAGAGGTTGCATATTCACTGCTATAGAGTGATGGCACTTACTTTTTTTTCTTGCGCCACTAAGGTTCACATTTGGGTGACGCCTACATACCTGATTGCATATGAAGGATATCAGCATGTAGCTTTATCCAATCCAGCTTGTCCATCATCGTTGTAGTTCGCAAAGGAAACCCTTGCATTCATGTGGATGTTACTTTGATGCGTTTCACTGACTTAAACACACCCCTTCATGGCACCACTGGTCCCTCATGGCTGTGGCCTCTTTCAGCAGGATAATGCTTGCTGCCACACTGCAAACATTGTTCAGAAATGGTTTGAGGAACATCACAAAGAGTTCAAGGTGCTGACTCGGCCTCCCAGTTCCCCAGATCTCAGTCCGACTGAGCATCTGTGAGATGTGCTGGAAAACCAGTCCAACCTCGCAGCTTCCAAAGGGTCTGCCGCTGATGTCTTGGTGCCTAAAACCACAGGACAGCTTTATATTGGTGGCACGAGGCAGACCAACGCAGTGTTTGGCATGTAGTTTTAATGTGGCGTCTGATTGCTGTATAGCTTAAATTACAACTGACATTACATTTACATGTTTTTTTGCACAATGTTTTTCTGTGAAGGTTAGTGTCTTTGATCCACAACAGAAAATGGTATATTCAAATTCATTTTAAAGGCCTCTTTATTGTATGTGTCGCATCTGGCGACCTAATAGATGAGTGTACTGTACATGTATATGAAATTAGTATGAGAAAGTTGAGCAATCTTTCAGAAATAGCCTTACTTCTCCTTTTGTGCGGACTGTCTGAGGCAGAAATAGTCCGTGTGATGAAAACATTGTTGTCAGAGCACATGAGCAGCGTATCTGTTATCTAATGGCTCATAATAGAGCATTCATTCTCGGTTATTTAATTCTAGTTGGGTGTTTTTAGGTGTGTTACTGTGAGGGCTGAAGTGAAAACCAACTGACAGGCGTTCCTGACTGAAACATGCAGAAAACCCAAAACGCTGATCTTCTGTGCATCAAGTTTCCTGTATGCTGCAGCCCTGTTGTCTTGTCTTGTGACATCCTGAAGCTGCTGAGGGTTTGGGTAGAAACTGAAGGATGGTGAGCCTGTTTGGTCCACATCTGTGTCCTACATACCAGAGTCACTCAGCAACTTCAGCTATAGACTCAAAGCTCTTCTTGTCCAGATATACCTGACACACCTTTATCACCTCTGCTCTCATAGAAAAATATATGTTTTACCTCCAATGTGTTTTCATCGTAGTGTTTTTTTGCCAGCTTTGCTGCGACTGGACTTTACTTTGTACTGAGATATTTCGCAAAGACTTGTTCATTCAACAATCCAAAATCAAAAGATAATCCTATGATTACGATAAAGGAAAGTAGGAATGTCTCAAATTTGATGAATAAATAATTAATAAACAAACCATATAAATAACCATTGCAAGAGAAAGCAGTTTATGCCTCCTTTGTGGGACTTTTAGGGGTATTTAAGTCTTTTTGAGGGTACCACATTTGCATTTTGTGCTGGCAAACATATTTGTACGACTCGTGCTTCAAGGACATTTTTGCTTTGGGCCCCAGAGTTGGTTAATTTCTAACTCTGTTGTGCTCCACTGTTGCTGCTGTGGTAAAGCAGTTAAGCTAGCAGTGAACTACATTGTATGAAGAGACTTGCTACAGTTGGAAAGACGGTTTACCTTCTGCCTTCAAACACCCGTCAAGTGTGTTTTTCACAGTCGCATAGCAATAGGCCTTTTTTGAAAATGTGTTTTTTTAAAACTATGTATTTTGGCCCTTGGACCGGCCTTGTTAGAGTCTCTACGGTGTGATCCAGATCATCCAGGGGCCCCTGTGACCGTGTGTCCCCCAGCCTCGGTGTCCTGAGCCTGCCTGCTGTGCTGCAGAGAGGCCCAGCTGCTGCCGTTGCTGCTACCGCTGCACATGCTCTCTCAGTAGTGAAGAGATGGCAACAGCAAGCTGTCTAACCTCCACAATAACCGCCTTATGTAATCACTCTGGCTGGAGACAGACCAAAATAGCCCAGACTGAGCAGGCCTGCCCTCTTGTGGCATGCAGCTGCCTCAACACCGGCCTACCAGGCCTCGACAGGGAGCCACACATGGCGGCCGACTCATGCAGCATTCACTGTAGCCCGAGCGAATGTCTAAATATTTGTTTTCAGAGGTTTGTACAAAAGATAGTGATAGATAATTTGTGCGTTGTTGTTGTTCAGTTTGGTGATCTGGCCATGGTTACTGGATGGGTTCATATAAACGACCACATTTATTTTTGGATGGGTTTAGCATGAAAATGAGATGGAATGTGGCTCACTGCTTATGATGTAGTTTTTATTTATTGTAGAATCAATATTTATGGAGACAAATGTCTTTAATTTCACTGCTTTGCTTTATGATGACATTCTGTTTCTTATATATAATGTCTGCCGCCTGTGGAAATGGTTAGACCTTACTGCAAAAACTAAGCCTGTTCTGTTTCTGTTGTTGCAGTTTCCTGGACAGAATTGACTCTGTAAGACAGAGCGACTACACACCAACGGACCAGGTCAGTTCTCCTGTTAATCTGCTCAGTATAAAATGTGTAAATCACCTCCAAAATCTTCTTTGTACTTTTTTTTTTTTCTGTAACTGGATGTCTTTTTGTGTCTGTTACGTACAGGACCTGCTACGCTGCCGAGTGTTAACTTCAGGGATTTTCGAGACGAGGTTCCAAGTAGATAAAGTGAACTTTCAGTAAGTCTCTGCTCAGCTTTCACAAACACATAAATACATAATCAAGACATGTAGCTGCTACAATTGTTGATTGATCATTTATTTGTATATTTTTGGTTCCAATTTTGGAAAAAATAAAAGAAAATACTTGTGGAGTCTCTGAAATACAGATAAAAAATAAAATAAAAAATTTAACAGTGAAGTAAAAAGAGATGAATTCCCTCATTTTAACATACCAAACACAGAAACCACGTTCTTCCGGCTCATTCTGTCACACTTTATGAACAAAACATTTACAAGTACTAAGCAGGTAGTATTGTCTTTGCTCCACCTCTGCCGTTACATTCCCTCTTATGTGGTAGCTTTTCTTAACTCTATCAACCAGTCCTGAAAAGGTGACTTTCTGGGCATTTTCAGATGTTTCCAGTCACGTTCCTTATTCAAAAAGTTTATCAGTGTCTCCATTTTGCATCAAAGTTGTACCAGTAAGCCCAGGTGAGATTGACGTCTCGCGTATTGCTGCTATACATACCACGACCTCGTGTTCAGAGCCTGAAATGTCATAAGTTTGCTCCTTGTAGCAGCTGGGCGTCCTTGAACAAAACACTGAACCCCAACCTGCTCTGCAGCTGGAAGCTGAGGTGGACAAGCGCGTCATCTAAGTGACTAAAATGCATAATGAATCCTCTGTGCTCAGCCAGTGTGATTTCTGAGCTCGCTCAAAGTTATTTACCATTGGTTACAGTTGTTGGAGCAGCTGATAAAGGTTAGAGTAAAGGTTTCGTAACTGCTTTGATGATGTCAGATGAGATGACCCATTTCCGCAGTCAGACACAACAGTCTTATTCTACCATGTGAAACAGGCCTTTGTATTGCATTATATCATCCTGAATGATTGATAATAAAGATGTGGATCATTAGTTCCCTCTTGGTGTGCAATTGTCATCATTCAGGTTTGATGACTTCCAAACATCCAGCCAGGGTCCCACAGGCTACTGACTCTACAAATAATGCTGTTCTTGGAATTATTTATTCATGAATTGATCATTCGTGCGTCCACAGTTGTCCCAATAACATTTAGATCTGAGCTCAGGAGCGCAGCTCAATAAGTCTTTTGTAACCATCTAAAAGAAATGTCTTCATATGGATAAGTGTAGCTATAAAACAGGCGTGCGAGTCTTCTCAGGCCAGCCAACTGCAGTACAACATGTACCTGACACCCTCAGTCCTGTCCCACCACAGATATGAACTCTTTGATCACAAGAGGGCAGCAGCGAGTGTGTTGTTGTGTCTGAATCTGACCCAGTATTTTGTCTCCACAGCATGTTTGATGTTGGGGGCCAGAGAGATGAAAGGAGAAAATGGATTCAGTGCTTTAACGGTGAGACTTTCAGCCTTTCTGTTCTTGTTTTCCTTCAGATAACCACACTGTACAACACATTCTCCTCCTATCACATCTCGTCTGTCTTACGGTATTTTCTTCCCGTTCCAACAATGCGCCGACTGATTCTTTTAATTTTTATTTTTGTGCACGTGCGATGGTCACAAAGCTGACATATTGCCTCTCCTCTCCTTCCAGACGTCACTGCTATCATCTTCGTGGTGGCCAGCAGCAGCTACAACATGGTAATAAGGGAAGACAATAACACCAACAGGCTACGGGAAGCTCTGGACCTCTTCCGCAGTATTTGGAACAACAGGTGAGGAGGAAGTTCACATTGAGTACTTACTCTCGTCTTGCTACCTGCTGTCCTAGCGAAGCTTCAGCAGTATCTAAAACTAAAACATCTCAAACACACCTCAGCCCTCTACCCTGGGCAGTTTCTGAAAGTTTTCTGCTCCTGTCACATTTTTTCCTCACTGTGGGCTCATTTTTTTTTACTGCAACATAAAGTCCAATACCTCTATGGGATCAGCGCAACCATGACTGGAAGTAGAGAGAACTCAAAATTGTTCATCAAATAAATCATTTTTTATTTTTCCAAGTACCCACAGGTGTTACCAATGTTGGAAAAAAAATGTGACTCTACGTACAATAGATATTTTACTTGTTAGATTTTCATTTCATTTCTTTGTTGTTTTAGATTTATTTTATTTTTTTTAACAGACTCTGGTACAGTTTATTTTCAGCAAAGTTTTAAATGGGTCATGTAGAATAAAGTTATTCTAATTAAAGTACCATGATTTTAGGCTTGGGTTGCATTAACAGAACATACAGTGCCACATGATAATTTCAACAACATTTGGAAAAACCTGACAGTTCTTTCTGTTTTTACAGTTTCTAGCTCACTAAATGGTGTCATTGTGGCACACATTTTTTTTCCCCGAACCTACCAGCAGTTTTGGGGCTCAGAGAAATAATCTTTAATTTAAAATTGAAACATTCTGGTGTCTTGACAGCCTCGGTGTTTTGTCTAGTTATGATTTTTACAATGATGAATGTAACTCAGCTCCTCAGCAGACATTTGAGAAGAAGGAACTGAAAGAGGCCTTTACATTTCTAAAAATAATTCAAAAGTTACAAGTCATTGTCTTTGAATGAGTCGCTCCATCTTGAATTCATTTTAGCTGCTGAAGTGAAGAAAGTCTGGATGTTTGTTTTAGTGAAAGTCCGAAAGTGTCCCTCACATAAATTTGAATGAATCGTGTAACTTAATTGTTGTGTTGAGTTCAGATACCAGAACCACCTCAGCTGTAAAGCCTACGTAGGAACATACAATTAAAGCACACAGCATTAAATATTAAATAAACATCATAATAAATCTACTATAAAGTAAAAGCTAGCTACTTGTTGTGACTAACTGTATAAGCAGTGCTGATGCATTTTTTTTAAATGGCTTCTTTTGTTGTTTGTTTTCTTTCAGATGGTTACGCACTATATCGGTCATATTGTTCCTGAACAAGCAGGACATGCTGGCTGAGAAAGTATTAGCTGGAAAATCCAAAATTGAAGACTACTTCCCTGAATATGCTCGCTACACCATACCAAATGAAGGTTTGTGCCCCGCCAAGTACAGCTGCGATGTTCAACACATTTTTAGTCTCTCGGTCTGTATTAACGGTGAATCTGCCTTTTTTTTTTTTTTTCCCAGCAACTCCTGAACCTGGTGAAGACCCAAGAGTGACGAGAGCTAAGTTCTTCATCCGAGACGAGTTTCTTGTAAGTATATATCAGTGTGTGTATGGACTGTGTGAAGTGAGGTGAAGTTATTTAGCGCTCGTTGCTTTGTACATGTAATACCAGCTGTGCATATGATGCCGCTTTGAACTTTCTGAACCATTTCTGCTGATGCTGACCTTCTCATGAGGACAAGCCGTCTGCAGATAAGCAACAAAAGGCTCCAGATTAACTTTTTCCCTGGTAGCACTGAGGCGACCCACTTTCTCAGTCGGTCGCACCAGCACATGATTTGGTCCCATTTTCATGGTGCATCGTGGTATTAATTAAACTTGCATGCTGCTGAACATTATTGTAAAGTTTGACTGCGGCTTGCTATTTGCAAAATGTTTTAATCAGAAAATATAGTAATTTTGTCTCCAGTATTTTTCTGGAAGATGGCTGATATCACTGGAGTTAACTCCTTATTTGCTGAACCTTTTCTTATTGCTGGACACTAGAATATACTTTTGTTCCCTTCACGCCTCACATGCAGGCTGAGGGGGATGCTAGCTAGCCGGCTGAAACTCAATCAGCCAAGTGCGTGACCAGGAATTACTTTAAAAAGAGCAAAATAAGATGTTCTAATGTCAGATTGCTGGTTTATTTTTCTATGAGCGACGCATTTTAAACATCAGTTCTGCAGTCGAACACATTTATTTAACTGTGAGGAGCTAAAATCACTGTTAAAACTCATTCACATGTTAGCCATAGGAACTGAATGTAGTGGACTACTTCTTCTTCACCGACTCATTTGTTATCTTCCGGCCTGCACCTGCACTATTTACCATCAGGTGTGTCTAATAAATAATCAGCTAGATAACATTTCATCATGGGAACAAGCTACATGGACACATCAGACAGACTGACGTACCGAGTGAAGAAGAAATAAACTGCTTTCCACCATGATGGCTACTGAAAATCAGCCTGATGTTCATCGTGCACTTGTATAAATGCGACCATGTACGCGCTCATATAACGGTCGCAAAACGCTCGGCGGCAAGTATTGTTGCCAGCATTGTTTCTGTATGTCCAGCCTGTGATTGAAGTTTTGCGTAGTGAATAATTTACACAGAATTGCATCATTTTGACATTTTCTGGAGCCTCCTCAGTGGATGGAGTTAATATGGAGTTGTTCCATTCTGTCTGCGCTCATGTTAGTCCTGTTTCCATTGTCACAAGACCTAAATAGAATTATTATTACTCATATTATTATTTTATTAGCAGTACTTCTATTCCTGTCGCAGTGGTGTCATCAGGCTTTAGTTAAAAAAAAAAAAAGTCTTCATGTTTGGTATTTGGATCTATTGTATTATGAACAGAGCTGTCTGATACAAGGCAGTTATTAATTGCATACCAGCAGTTTAATATAAGGAAAAAAATAAAAGGGCCTTGCACACCTCGCATAGAGAATAATCAGAGGACAGTGGATTGCTGTGTGGCGCTCTACGACATACGCTACGCTGCTCACGCGCCAGGTGAAGCCAGTTTCATTGATAATAATGGAAAGGATCTGTTGCAGCAGCTGCTCCTGGAAAAGGCCCAGCAGAGTGTAGAGGCTAGCCTGATTATGAACTGTTATTATTGTTATTATTTGTATTGTTGTTTTTTGTTTGTTTTTATAAACATTTAAGGATAAAAGAAACTAATTGTGCTGCTTTGGCTCTGATGCGGCCTGCTCTCCGTCTCAAGCAATGTCCCGCCCACAACTCTGTCTGATTGGCTGTTGCATGTCTCGAATACCAGCTAATCAACAATGAATGTTTACAGACGGGGGCAATGTGAGCATGTTTGCAGAGCGGAGTTGAGGACGTAGATCATGGGTGTCAAACTCAAAATACACCGTGGGCCAAAATAACAAACTGGGACGTGGTTGAGGGCCAGACTCGATATTTATTGAAAAATTGATTACAGTTGTGCATGTTTTCCTTTCCCTCCTGATATATAATGATAAACTTTTTCATATGGTAACAAACTTAAGTTTTGCTAAAACATGAAATCTGGACCAAGTAAAGCTTAATTAAAGTCTGTCCTTTGCATTCGTCAACAGATAATCTGCCCCCTACCTGTCTTGAAAGCAACTGGTTTCCATTTGTCGTTTGGTCCTTTTTTGTGAGGGGTAGCTTCAATTTTCGGCTGCAAGGTGGCTCGGTGGTTAGCATCGTTGCTAATGCTAAGAATGCTAATGAATGCCAACAGAAGGGGGACGGGACGCTTGCGGGTCTTCATTGACGCACCAACACACTAGCAGAGCATTCTGGGATATGTAGTATTAACAATGTATGCGCTATATACCGGCGGGCAGCTCCAGTAGACATTTGATATTATCTTGCGAGCCAAATATAATCAAATGCCAGAATAATTCCCTTGTTGGTGTCAGTGCACCCAGAACCTATTTTGCTGTCAGTGCTAGGCTAAGGTATTCACTAAAGGTATCTGAAATACCCAGAATGTCTTCCTAAAGTCAGACAGACTCGTCCCTCTTGTAGAGTCACAACCTGCAAAATCCAAACACAGCCATCACCACAAATCAGAACGTTAAGTATTTTCACTGTGGCTAGGGCTATGCTAACAGCTAAAGGGCTTGGTTAGCGGCTGAGTTAGGAGGCAGCCACAGATTACCCCGAAACAATGTCTGGAAAACAGTAACAAATAATGCTTTAAAATATGAGCCATTGTAGGCCAAAAAAATAACTAAAGAACAGGAAAACAGAGAAGAACAGCAGAACAAGATGAGACAAAGAGAGGAGAGCTACCCAGCTGTCTGTCTTCAATATTCAGTAATAGTAGACATTATAGTGAAGTAATGTAGCTATGAATGACAAAATCCCTGCTATCACATGCTGCTAAAGTGTGATGTTTAATGTACATTGGTCAATCTTGATTACCAATAATCAGTTTTAGCTCTAAGGAAACAAACGTATTGGTTGATCCATGGTCCTGTGTTGGAAGCGTCATGTGACGTCTCCTGTGTCTTCCTCCTCAGCGGATCAGCACTGCGAGCGGCGACGGCAGACACTACTGCTACCCCCACTTCACCTGCGCCGTGGACACAGAGAACATCCGGCGGGTGTTCAACGACTGCCGGGACATCATCCAGAGAATGCACCTGCGGCAGTACGAACTCTTGTGATGGGAGACCGTCTCCGTCAGCCTTCTGTGTTTTTCTCCACCATTCTGCATCCCTGATGAACCCTTCCTCCTCCTCCTCCTCCTCCTCCTCCTCTTCCTCCTTTACTCCTCAATCCCCAAAAAGAAACCCTCAACAAGCCCCCCTGACCTCCCCTCCTGTCGATGACTATGAAGTACTACTGAAGTGTGTCAAATCCTCTTTCTCTTTTTAACTTCTTAGCTTTTTGTACTTCTTTTTTTTTTTTTT